CCTAGAACCACTTTCCCCGAACGCCAGTTATTTTAAATGTTGATGTAGTGAGAAAAGTAAGAAAATTATCCGCCGCTGCATAATCTGGCTGTAATAATACCATACTTACCTAGAAATTAACCTAATGACGTGATAATAATCCGAATTATTGCGGCAGATAAATACTCAATTATAAGAACGCATCGTAGATGTGATTTATTGAGGTCAAAGTTGCTTTGACAATTGAAGATATTTCGCCCTTTTTGAATGAACCTTTCTCTTCCAAAATAGGCCAAATTCATCTCAGAAAGAATAGCAATGTCGTGTCGTTGCATTCTACAAATTTGAATGAGCTCTTGCTTTCACTTATTATTATCAGACGAAGCGAACATTTGATGTAACTCAAGGGCGTCAAGCCTTAAACATTTATTTTTGTCTTTTCTTGCCCCTTAGCCTTTTAATAATTCCATATCCACCATATAAAATAATAGCCGTAATAGTAAGCAAACCAAAAGCATACACAACCCACTGCTCTTTGTTTTCATATTTCTCTTCTTTATCTATGCAGTTTAGTTTCCTGAACAGCAATCTTTTAAATCAATGTGTTGAACAAAGTCTAATCAACAAACAATCGATCGTCAACTCTAGGAATTTAGCTAGTTTCAAACGGAACTGTGGCGTCTCTTACTTTTTAGTTAAATATAACGACTTTAGCCACAGGAACTGATAAAGAACTTGATGAACATTTACCCGGTATAGACAATATAACTAGTGATGGCCGGTATATAAAGGGAAAATTCATATGTAAAAAACCGTTCCTGGAAAATTGGGCCGTTATAGCAAAAACCGGTATATACGGGGGACGGTATAAAGAGGTTTCACTGTACTCTTTCAAACCCTCATTGGCAGAGCAACGAGCAAGCAGCAGATGGCCTCAACGTTATGCATATTTGGCATGATATGAACTTCAAGACAATAAAAATATGCAACAGTAATAGACCAAACACCTTTGAAACGCTGAAGCTTTGATGGACATTATCTGGTTTTGACCATGTGCGGGGCGGGCAAAACAAAGGATCAGGTGAGTGTGAATCAATTCTGTCATGTGTGGTTCAATCGTACGTAATTTGTCTTATAAGAGCCCTAGTGTGTGACGTGTCTCACGGAATTACTAACGCAAAATAAAGATGCAATATTGGACACTCTGCCAGATTGATTGTTTATTATTATGTGTCGTGTCATTCTATACAAAGTTTTCTCTTTTAAAAGATTTTTCAGTTTAATGGTACGGGTATGGAGGAGGAGGAGGAGGGGGGGGGGGGGTACTGTAGCCCGAGAAATACGGTAGTTGCAAACGATTGTTGGACTGAATATCTATCTCGCGAACAAGGGATACATTCGCCGTCAAGAAATCAAACCAAATTCCAACGTTTGCAATACCACTCACGTATGTAACGTTAACACGATATCTAAAGCGTTGTATAAACCCAGTCGCTCCCGACACCAAAACAAGAATTTCAATGACAAATTTTAATACATTGTTTACAATCAAGAAAAATAAAACATAATATTGGTACAATTTTCAGTCTTGTCAAATCCGATCGCCACTTCCTCGAATTGCCCTCGTTTCCAGACGCCAATCTCTACCAAGATGTCCCATCGTTATTTCTTCCAATCCCCTTTCATCGTTGTATCATCAGTTTTCTTGAACAACTTATAAGAGCCAAAGAGACCGAGACAAAGAGAAGCCACCACCCACATAGCAATATTCTTCCAGTCCGTCTCACCCCGGCTCCTCAAAACCTTTATTACATATAGCGTTTCCAATGAATGTACAGTAACCATAAAGTACGTTATGCCGCGCAACACGTGAGGTCCAACAAACGCTCGTAAAGCAGCCACAGGTGGAGGTTGATATTGAGGGAAAAGATCAAGATACAGCTCAAATGATACGAGACTCACGCCAATTAAAAATGGCAATAAGTTTGGGGGGTCGTAGGGTACGTGTTTTGACACGTTCTGAGGTGAATTGGATGGTGAAACGGAAGTCATTGTCTTCAATGGAGGGTTGTGTGTGTTTGGCCGTTGTTTTGAACACTTTATATACGCAGGTTGATAGTGCGATGCAGCAAAAGATTATCATTTATATGCTTTTACCCTTTTACCATGTATTTTCACATGGCAATCTTATGTTGTAAATGACAAGTTGATCACCAGTGTGTCACCAAATCTATACATGAACGGTCGCATATTTACATAATCGTTCGCAAATGATGTGAACATGCATACCTGATACATGCATCAAAAGTGAACCCAATTTAGTAGGTTCCATAAAGCATATATGCATCGGCCGCTACAAAAGACTCTCAGGTCAAAAACTATAATTCGAGCGAAAAAAAAAATATAAAATTAAGACGAAAAACGACCTTTATCCTATTTTAATATGAATTTTCTGGTAGACCATTTTTTGAATTTGAGTTAGAATTTAGGATAATGTTTGACCCAAAACGTCGTTTTAATCCGATTTCGTTTTAATCTGCCACAAAAATTTTCACGTGGCAATAATTTGATGCGCACTCGTGATACAATGAAAATCGAGGATTTACCGTAGTCGCGTGCCACAGTGATACAGCAAACTCTTTTAATGCTGGTATTCTTCGCGTTCATATTCACGACAAGACGAATCTAAAAATGTTTGGACATGTCCCGCAGTCTATTTTGTCGGCCAACCCAAATTTCGCCAAAATGCACAAGCAGATCGTAACGCGATACCTAACTCCAGACGGCCGGACCAAAGCTTTGGAGGAAGAGACTGACGTGGTAGCGTTATAGAGCATGCTAATTCAATTGAATTCTTACTTAGTATAACGCAGTTAACGCACGGATATCTTTCAATAAGAGTGATTTTACAGAGGCAAAGATGATCTATTTAGAACATTTAGCCTTGTATAATGAATTACAAAAGTTAGCTATGCAAGGCTTTAAACCACCCAAAGACGGCCGGACCCAGGTAAGCAATAAGAGATTATTTTGTCACGACAAATGTCTTGCTCATATATTACAGGTTATAGGGAGCCCTTTCAGATGCCTTGGCTTTTGCAGAAACGAGACAATTACTAAGATATCGTCCGAGAGAGCCTGACTTGCGCAATTCTGGTGTGACTCTACTTGGTTTGACCGAGAAAGATCTTTATAAGCAGGTAGAAGGACAGTTAGGGA